TCTCTTAAGGTTTGACCTGAAGTAAATTTTACATATTTTTGTCCATAGTCTTTCCTATCGTTGGAAGCTTATCACTTTCTCTAGATTCTGCATACACTTTAACATACTGATTTTAACTGGCTCCATTGGAAGTGGAGCACACAGCCGTGCTAAGGATCCCTAGGAGGGAGGCAAGTCTAAGAGAGAGTAACTGAACAAAGGCCATAACTGTTCAACAGCTACATGGAACCGCTGGGAGAGGTCATCAGGAGGTTTGGGCTGAGGAGTCAGCAATATGCTGATGACACTCAGCTCTATCTCTCGTTTTCCACCAGTCCAGGTGAGGCGGTTTCTGTGCTGAACTCATCTCTGGACCTGAGAATGGACTGGATAAGGGTTAAAAAATGTGAACCTTAATCCAGGCAAGATGGAAGTGCTGTTAATGGGTAGTTCGTCGGACAGGTTAAAGGGCCATTTCCCTGCCCTGAATGGGGTTGCATCTCCCCATATTCAACCAATTCTGGCCAGGTTACACTGGCTACCCGTTGCTACCCGGGCCCAATTCAACGTGCTTGTTTTGACCTATAAAGCCCTCAATGGCTTGGGCCCTGGATACCTGATGGACCGCCTCCTTCCCTACGAGCCTACCCAGCCACTGAGATCTAGCCAGAAGGCCCTCCTGAAAGTCCCGTCCCTCAGGGAGGTGAGAGCGGTGGCCTGTAGGCGGAGGGCCTTTTCGGCAGCTGCCCCTGGTCTTTGGAGGGCCCTCTCCAATGGCATCCGAAGAGTGCCGACGTTACTGACATTTCGGCACCAGGTTAAAACCTTCCTGTTCCGGAAGTTTTTTTTTTTAATTGAAGGTTTTAATTCTAATTGAGTCATGGATCTAGATTGTTTTGTTTTCATTTTTCCTTTTGTAGAGTATAGATGGTTTTTAGTGCATCTGTTTTTAACCGAACTGTATTAATGGATGTTGGAAGCTGCCCGGAGACTCTTGCAGAGGGCGAGCGGCATACAAGTCAACTAACTGAGTGGAAATTTGAAACCAAGTCTCTTCCATTGTAGTTCTAGTCTAACATTCTAACTGCTGTAATAGGGGGCAGTGGATGGAGTTAATGAGAAAAATTGTCAGCTACTTTGATGTACGTCATAAAAAACATGGATAGCACCACACAACTTGCTCAATGTGATTGAACATTCCATATGTTGCACATAGTTGTACATCATAAAAATACATTGCATGGCTTTACACCCCGGTTCTTAATATATTGGACTAAATCCTATTGCTAAACATTGTGTGCAAAAATGAGATCATGCAGGCAGCGTTTGTAGTTTTCTTGCCATCTTTTGCGTGCCTGGTTACGCAACCAGTCTGTGTCTCAGCATGTGATAGGCAGCTGGCACAGTTGTGCACACCGGATACTATATGTGATTCATGAGTTGCACCGCACCAACCCAATGAGATCCTGGCCATCCATTTGCTTGAGAGCCATTCCTTTAAGAAAGATATTTCGTTATTGAGAATGCCGCCGGTTTCTAATGTGTGATTTGCTACTGTATGGTAGTTTTGCTTACTTTGTTCTAATTGCACTGGGCAAATAACAGTCTACTAACTTCCTGCGATCCTGTCTTCTGGTGGCTGGAACAGAGCTAGCTTTTGTTCAGTTGCATACCAGATGTGGGCAGGAAACACTGAATCGGTTTTCTGGAATTAGATGAGTTGACCAGTCAGTGCCTGCTAGATAGTAGAGTAGCTGATATATTTCATAAGATAAGAAAACAGGAACAGGAAAAGTATTCCCATGTGCTTGTTTGGTAACAGTTCATTCTTCAGAATCATCTGCATTGTGAATGTGGGGTAGAACCTAATCTCTGTTATTCCCCCTCCCCATTGCCTCTAGGAAGCTTATGAGCTTGATCTGAAGGGTACTGTTCCCCTATAATATTTGCCTCTATTATCTGGTCACTTCTCAGGGATAGCGACCCCAGGTTTACCGAATAATAATCTGCAAATTAATTGCATGTTTTCATTAAAGTACTAGCTGGCAGGATAGCACAGCGGTTTAAGTATCTGGCTGAAGAGCCAGAGGTTGAAAGTTTGATTCCCTATTGTTCCTCCCAGAAGAGCCAGCCTGGGTGGCCTTGGGCAAGCTGCACAGCTGCAGAGCCGCCCAGAAAAAGGAAAGGACAAACCACTTCTGAGTATGTTGTTGGCATGGTTATCATCGTGCAGGAGATTGCTAACCTAAGGAAACTGTAGCTGTGGCTTGTAGTGGTATTTTTTTGCTCAATGTTGGCTCGCTGTACACATCCAATAAAACTGAAGGTTAAATAAAGTCATTAGTATGACTTGGCAAGGTGGTCTGAAGGCAATAAAATGTCTGACTTAATGTTCCCTGAACAAAATCCAATTACTAGTTAAATGTATAATGGAGAGAATAATTTTGAACACAACTGTAGTTAAATGTATAATGGAGAAGCTGAATATTAGGCACTTAATTAATGCAGAGGAAAAATTATTTCTATGAAGGATGCCTGTTTGAGAGTATGAACAGCAAGGGAAGGAGAGGGGTGGACTTCAGGATGAATTGGTGGAACCGGTTAGTTCAGCCCTGTCCGCTTTTCATTAAACTTGGAAGGAGCCGAGTGACAGGCAGAGAGCTTCTTACCTTTACCTACTGATTCTTTCCAGTCTTTGACTAGGAAAACTAGTTTTAGAGGCGGATTGGAAGAAAGTAAATTTTGGGGAAGGGGTAATTGTTACAAATACCAGCAAATGAAAAATCCTGCTTCCTCTCCCCCAACCCTTCTCCCATGTATTTTAGACAATAAAGGCCAAGATGTGATTGTTTAGCATGTGCAGAATTCCTATTTCCCTAACTGAGATCTGGTAAAATTGGCAAGTTTTAGTTTTAACACCGGTGTGTAGTTAGTAAAAGGAGAGAGCCTGTCTATGCAGCAATAAGTGTCCACTAGACAGACACACTGATGAAATATCAGGTAAAGTGGCAGAATCCCTTCAGGAGACTAGTTTTTACTTCCGAAGTGCCTTCAGGCGCTCAGGGTTGGCGGGCAAATGTAACTCACTTGGGAGAGGACATGCCTGTAGGATTAACAGGGTTCGATGCCTGATATTTCCAGTTCAGGATCAGGTCGCAAGTGTTGGACAGACAGCACGTCTGCTGGAGGGATGTTGCCAGCTGGAGGAGGCAGTGCTGAACTAGATGGGTCCTCATCTGACCTGACGGAAGGTGATTTCCAGAGCCTCTCCCCACCCAACCCACAGGTCTTCACATGTTTCTTTGATGCGTTTGTCGCTCATTGAGCTCCTCCTTTGTTTCTGACAGAACAGCAGTTCTGGCACTTGAGTTTTCATAGTGTTCTCGAAAGCTATAATGTCCACTTTGGAAGAAAGGAGCACCTACGTGTATAAAGTATACTTCATAGTGTTTGTAAGAAGGAACTGGTGTCATGTAACAGTTACATGGAAATCCCAGCTTCTCAGAAAACAATGCTTTCAGAATATTTGCAGTCCAGTTTGTCTGATAGAGGAGGAAGTTCTCACTTTTGTTAAGAAAAAGCTTTAGAATAAAGGAAAGTTTGGGGGGGGATGACGAATAAAGTATGAATAAAACCAGTGTTAGATCACGACACAGTATCTTGGTATAATATTTTTCAATTAAAATGGTGGACTGAGGGTTGGATAAAATGAAATGGTAAATATAGGAAATTTACTAAATGAGAGAAATTTTTACTACAAAGGACAGCAAGGGTGATAAAAAGGCAGTATAGTATGTATAATTTATAATCTAATATTGGAAATAAAAGATCAGAAGGAGTTACAGTACTTATATTGTTATTGGAATTTGATATGGGAGAAGAAATAAGTTTAAATGCTAGAAAAATATACGGAACACTAGAATATTGAAATAAAGGATCAGAAGTTTTATGTTGGTTTGGAGATGGTACTTAACTCTAGTGAAACATAATCAGATAAATGATCATGATTCTAAGATGTGCTGGAGAGGGTGCCAGAAAATAGGCACATACTTTTGTATGTGGTGGGAATGCAAGTACTGTATATACTGAAATGTTGGCCATTGGTTTTTAAGGGGAAAAATTAAACAAGCAATTTAAGTTTAGCTGTCTATGTCCTAAAATAGCACTTCTAACAGTATTTGAAAATGAGACAAGTAATTGGACAATTAGACAATTAGTTTCCAATTTGCTAACCGCAAAGTAACAGCTCATAATATTTTTTTTATGTGAATGGTATAGAGAAGTCTGGGATAGAGCAATTAATGATAAACTTGCATGAGGTATAAGAGTTAGGAGGAGGTGACTAGCAGAGACGTATTTGTAGACATATGGGGAGAATTTATTGATTTTGTCTTAAGCTCATATAACTTCTCTTTTTTTTTACAAAATGTTTTATATTAAAACCTAAAGAATTCCTAAATGGCCTGCTACTCCACAGAAAACAGAAAAACGTGGGGCAGCTATGCAACCACACTGTTTATTACATCATCTCTTGGCAGAGATTTTTTTGGTAATTAAAGACTTCCTTCTTCCACCCCATGGTCCTCACAATGTTCATACAATTAAACAGTATACAGTACTTGCCACTCAGAAAAGCTGGGGAATGGAAGAAGACACTTTTAATTACAGAAAATAATCTCCACTGGTAATGTCATATAACCTTTCTGCATGCATAGAACAAGATTTTGGCCACTGTTTGTCTTCTGAAATTTGTCAGTATTCTGCAGTAGCCAACACATATTTGCAGTAGTATTTCTAGTGCCTCTTCCTTTTCGGAATCCAGTTTGAACGTATGACATTTCTTACTCTGTGAATATTGTTTTTTTTTAAAGTATTGTAAAATATTCAGCTCAACTATTGCTGTAATTGTAAACATTTTAAAATTAACTCCTTTGTTTCCCATTGTTTGGAGATAGAAGCGGGAGACAAGGAGAAACGGGAGAAGGTCTCACACTGACGCTGTTGTCTTCAATGTCTTTCAGGTTCTAAATGGCTTCTAGGAAGTCAGGGTCTGACTTTCATGGTAAGTGAGATGTGAAACTTGTAACTTTGGACAGGTTGAGAGGCCATTTTTGGGGGTCAGGTTCTCCAAAGTCTGTCTGATTCGATGAGGGGTTTTGTGAATAGCAATTTATGTTGCTGAGGAAGAGAAGCTGCCTTTTGGTTTTTTGTATTTCAGCATGTAACCTATTTTCAGGCGTATACAGGCAAAACCTTGTTGCTTAGCATAATCATACTACGGGATTTAGTGAGTCAAGTCCTCTGTAAGTTTCATTGATTCAAATGGTCCTGCTCTAACTGCCATTTACCATGCTAAGGCAAGTCATAGTTAGAGTAAGTCCATTTGAACCAATGACATCTACAGAGGAATTGACTCACTAAATCCCCGTTGATTCAGTGGGCCTACTGTAGTGCGATTTGTGTCTCAAAGAGGCTTACAAATGACTTACAAGGAAAAGTTATAAAGATTTGTACAGCGTGGCACAATGGAAGGTTAGAGGAGTCATTAAAAGCTAGCTAAATGCCCCCATCAACATGAACTATCCTAAAAAGTGTATGTACATTTTCTCCTGGTGTAAAAAAAACAAACACACAAAGCAAGTGGTGGATTGGTGCTGTTTTTGGGGAGCAAATTCCAGAGGTGGGGCCATCACAGCAAGAAACCCATTCCCAGATCTCTTATATCTTTGACTTGGGTCTGTGGCTGGTGATGGAGCACCATCTCTGGTAATCACATGGGAAGATTGACTGGAAACCAGGATCTGCCTAGTGATTTAACAATAATCTGTTCAGTCAGAACATTGAGTGACTACCACGAGAGTCCTTAAGATCTCGTGAAAGTACCACAGGAAGATATGCCAATTGCTGAATGTAAACTGGGGGGGGCAGGCGGTGGCAGACATGGCCACTGAGAGCTTCTTGTCTTGAATGCAATCTTTGCAGTTGTATTGCTGTTCTTTCCAATAAATACAATTAGTATAACAATAACAGACTGTTTCCATGCAAGAGACATTAACATGACACAAGTGAGGTCTGCAGGATGCATACAGTCCCACTAATTCATATTGTGTCTGTCTACACAGAGAAAAGGGAAAAGAGAATCTGATATGAATTACAACGATCTTTTATTTTGTTATGTAAGCATTCATTAATTTCAGGGAAACTTATTTTTCTCTACTTAAATTAGAAACAAAATTTGTAAAATGTTGTTGGGGGGCGGAATTCATGCAAGTACGCAGACGGCCATTCTCTCCAGGCAAAGGACTGGTATCAGCTGCCTAAGTAGCTTACAACTACTGGTGATGTAAGCCACAGGGTTTGCCGTCAAAAATGGAAAATTCTTTTAGTCTTAGAAAAACTAGTCTGTATAATATCTAAAATTAATATTTTAATGGCCCAAGAAAGATATTATATTATAAAATTAACACAGATGAGCTTTCAAGTCCAGTAGGAACTTCCATCAGGCTCAACGTTGCAGTTTTTGAGGAATGGGGGGGAGAAGCAGAATAATACAGAAACCATTCTGAGGGGATGAAGACCGTTTGGTCTAGTGTTTGTTTGCTGTGACTTCCTTCCTGCTTCATTTTAATCTGCCATTTAGTTGAGATCCTCTTTAATGTTGAGGAATGAGCCTGAGAGGGTCTTCCTGCAAATTATTTCCATCTTGGCTGGGCTCCAAGTGTTTTACCTCTGCTCTTAACTCAAGGCAGAAGCGTTGAGGGGAAGAAGTGGGCGCTTACACTGACAGATGGGCGCGACTCACTGTGTTCTTACTCCCTCCCATTAGGGACCTTCAGTTACATTGATGATGTCCCATTCAAGATAGGAGACAAGTTCAAAGCACCAGCCAAAGTTGGACTGCCCATTGGCTTTTGTTTGCCGGACTCTCCACAGCTTGTGAGGGAAGCCCAGGTGAGTCTTAAATTGTCCTATGCAGACCTGCAAGAGAATAAGCATTCTCGCCAGGATGTTTTTGTTGTCGTTTAGTCGTTAAGTCGTGTCCGACTCTTCGTGACCCCATGGACCAAAGCACGCCAGGCCCTCCTGTCTTCCACTGCCCCCAGAGTTTGGTCAATTTCATGTTGGTCGCTTCGATGACCCTGTCCAGCCATCTCGTCCTCCGTCGTCCCCTTCTCCTCTTGCCTTCACGCTTTCCCAACATCAGGGTCTTTTCCAGGGAGTCTTCTCTTCTCATGAGAGATGGCCAAAGGATTGGAGCCCCAGCTTCAGGATCTGTCCTTCCAGTGAGCACTCGGGGTTGATTTCCTTTAGAATATGATAGGTTTGTTCTCCTTGCAGTCCAGGGGGCTCTCAAAAGTCTCCTCCAGCACCACAATTCAAAAGCACCCATTCTTCGGTGGTCAGCTTTCTTTATGGTCCAGCTCTCACTTCCATACATCGCCACTGGAAAAACCATAGCTTTGACTATTCGGACTTTTGTTGACAAGATGATGTCTGTGCTTTTTAAGATGCTGTCTAAGTTTGTCATTGCTTTCCTCCCTGCTTCTTGGGTGATCATGGAGCCCAAGAAAGTAAAATCTGTCACTGCCTCCATATCTTCCCATTCGATGGGACCAGTGGCCATGATCTTAGTTTTTTTGATATTGAGTTTCAGCCCGTTTTTTGCACTCTCCTCTTTCACCCTCATTAAGAGGTTCTTTAATTCCTTCTCACTTTCTGCCATCAGAATGGTGTCATCTGCATATCTGAGGTTGTTTATATTTCTTCCGGCAATCTTAATTCTGTCTTGGGATTCCTCCAGTCCGGC